CTTCGAAGGGAGGACACCGTTAGATAACGTTTTAAAAATTGGAGACTACAACAACGTAAGCATAGGCGAAAAAATAAAGAAATATTCAGGTTATTTCAGCGATGCAGGATTACTACACTTTAGACTTGTATTTTCGGATGCCATTGCAGCTAAACGAAGCATTTGACAAAGAGAAAGAATGGATTTTGCATTTCTGTAAATATTGACAATGCAATTTCCCATAGGAACTCCTTTTACGGCTAAAACTGTACCATTTTTACTATGAAGTTTAAAAAAAATCATATCCTAGAATGGAAAGTTCATATGCACTACAATTTTTTTCAAAGGTCAAAATATAGGGCTGTGCGGCATATTTTCAACGTGTATATGCCCCGAACTTCTAAGAGTTTAAACTAACACTAACACTAAATTTCTTAACTATCCCTACCTTGACTGTAGGATTACCACAAATTTCTATATAGACAATATGCATATGTATATTTACTGGTAACATTCCCAAGTTATGTCTCTATGAAACCTAGAGATCATAACTGGGAACAAGTATGTAAACAAAATTAACTATCTATGAATATTCTATATCTCCCCAAAAGAGGCATGGTTTGAGAAACAGCTGTATTTACAAAGTGCAACCTCTATGTATTCAAAAAAGGCTTTTCCCCCAACATACTGTTTATTTGTTATTGCACATGGCCCCGCTGTGTTAAGTATTAAAGGTCAAATTTCTCTGTATTTCTTTCACACACAAGGCCAAAAGTTGTCGAACCATTCTGGCCTTTGAATATTTGAGAGCATATCAATACTTAAAACACTTTTCAACAATTTTGTATGTATCATAAAATTGAAATATAATTTAGCGCTACATGATTTGTTGCTGTTAAAGGCACTTTGATACAATCCTGGTCAATCAAGATTGGAGCGAACCCACGTGCTACCCACGGAGTTCGAACTCACAACCTCAGCGTTGACAGGCTAGTGACACCCGGCTACCGAGGCCCCTGATCTACTAGTTATACCAAACACTGAACAGATAATATTTGTACTCCAATTTTCTTACTTTGCCCAATAAATATTTTTTATTTTATTTTTTTCTTAGAAATGAGTTTTTTAGGCGAGTGCTCTACAAGTGAAGCGAGCGGTATAATTTTTTTTAAATTGTGCGATTTAGAATTTATGTACATGTTATAACTGGGTTACTTTCTAGAAAAACGAGGAGAAACATGCTCTAATGAACGTTCACATGCATTATTCTGACTGAGCAAAATACTCTTTCCTTTTGCTCCTTAAAGATGCAATGCGTTTAAAACTCTTTAGCTTGACTAGAAGTGGTTGAACCAATTAAATATCCCTAATTATTATGAGCATGCCAATCACAATACCACCATCTTGGTTTCGAACGTTGGACCTCCTTTCCCGTTACAAAAGAGTTCTGCTTACATGCCAATAGACTAACAAGGGAAAATGAGGTTTCATCAAAATAAGATAATTCTGTGATTTTTTAAAAAAGTTCATGTGAATTTACAATTAATTTCATCCAAGTTAGATAGCTGGGTCTATGCCTGTTGAAACAAGGATCGGGGTGACGATGGTTCTAACACATATTGATGTGATTGTGGTCATCTAACGAAAGATTTTTAATTTTTGCCTCCTGGAACAGGTCTTCAAAGGTAAAACTAGATGCATTTCGGATAACTGTGTGTTCAATAACTACTTGTCCACGGCAATGAGCTGACACAACTGCATGTTGACATCCCGATTTTTGACCTTTTATTTACTTTTCTTGAATTGATTTATCACACGTGCGTTTGAATCGATCGGAGCAATATATGCAATATTATTAAAAAAAAGTCTATGTGAAAAAAAAAAATCAAGGAGAAACTAATTTTGGAGCGGCATGCGGACCAAAAAATTGCGAAGCGGTAGTTATTTATTTTATTGAAAAGTCAATTTCTCCAAAACAGAAGCGGAAAAATACAAAAAACTTATAATCAAATTGGTGTGGCCTTAATTTTTTCATACTGCTTCACACAAAACAAATGTAAACTACATGAATATTTCAACGGTTTATTATCTAGGTGTACCAGAGACTCCGGGTAATTTTAGTACGATAACAACATCAACTACTAGTATAACAATTCAATGGAATCCAAAAAGTGGTGACGGTTATAAACAATCATTTTACATACAATATAGGGTCCAAGGATCTTCTGAATGGACTACAGTATCAGCTGGTGAGAAAAGTATGAACGAACCAAAGAGTCGAAGAACATATGAAGTAACAGTCTTACAGGAAGGAAAGACCTATGAGATACGAATGTTTTCTGAGAATACAGCAGGAAAAAGAAGTAATTTCACAGACGTGTTGACTGCCTTTACTAAAAGTTCAGGTACAAAATTTGTATTAAAAATGCCTGTATGAATCTCCAGTGTAACGCCCAGTGGCAAATAATCAATTCATATAACATCATGTATATATCTTTTCATTTTTTTCTCTTATATGTATTCAGCATTTTTATGTTGTTTTTGTGTTTTTCAGGGTTAATGTGCTAAATTTCATTTTTCCTATACACATTTTCTTGACAATTTTGTGCAAATAGTGTTTCACTCCTTATTTAGAAATATACTTAAACTTAAAGTCCTAATATTAAATCAACTTCATTGGAATTTAAATTGAAAGTGAAGTCTCTACCTTATTAATTTCTTAATGGATTTACTGAGAAAATGGTCAACAGTCAGTGTTAATATCTTGCAAGGTAGATGATAAAAGTCGGCACTGGAAGTACTTTTAATTTATTTTGGCCAATAGGGGTTTCACTTAAAAAGAATATATACATATATTACTGTTTGTCAAATATGATATCTTTTTTAATTAAGAAAAGGTGATGTGGTACGCTTGCCAATGAGACAATATTCATAACAGAATAAAACAAGGAGTATGTAAACACATATACATGTCTACCTCCTTGCACGTAAAACATTTCAGTTTTGCATACTGTTCGTAACTTTAGAATAAATTGTTTAATTGAATCAAAGGAGCTGTGGAGGTAACGTCAAAGAGACAGACATCTTACTTCAAAAATATCAAAAAGCATCTAGAGGCCAACACACAGTCTTCAACAATAGACATATATATAATATGGCAAGCTTTAGATCATCCAGACTCTATAGAATATTTGAATAGATTTAACAAAATTTAATGAAATTAACAAAAACAATAATAATTGTGCCATTAACAACGACTTCTATAAATAACAACATCTTTTACCAAGATTATTCATCTGTGACGTACACATGAAAATATGGTGGGGGTATTTGATTAAGATCCCTACCCTAGCCTTTCAATATCGATCAGTAGATTAACAGAACAGAGGGAAACCCAGTAGAGTGATTACATTTATTTCTTACATAGTTGTATAAAAGGTAACAAAAACACACAAATTAATATCAAATAAATGCCATGATATTTAAGAATAATTGCTGTTTTTTAAAGCAAGCTCAAAGTATATAACATGTCAATAGGAGATCATGACGTCCTGCACTTAATACCGGTTGCTGTACTTTATAGATGATTTTACACATCAACTCAACTTAACTTAGGAAGACAAGATCTGGTTGAACTACAATTTGTATTTTACAGACTAAATGATAATTTTTTTTTGGACGACTCATTGCATGCATAGTATGATGATTTTGTATCTTAGATTAGATAGTTTACCTAAGTTACAGTTCGGCAGAAGCCTAATTTTATGTATTTGTATATACTTTAATAAAACATAGAAAAGAAGAAGATATTTGGTGGGTAAACCTTGGGTCAGGTCAAATGTGAAGGGGTGTTCCAAAGGAAACTCTAATACGGGTAATAAGGCACTTTGGAAGAACACCCCTCCTTCAAGAATGGTACGGCTACCATTGTGGTATATAAGGAGGTGCGATTCCTTGCTCATTGTCATTGTCATAAGTCTACGGAGACATAAGACCAAGGTACGGTACGTGGAAATTCGAGATCGAAGTCTCGTATATATAGGATACTATAACATTAAAGTGTAATAAAGAATAGTTCGGTGCCTGTTAGGAAATTTACGGACTTGTACAAGTAAGAGCTTCAAAAGTTGTACCGTATTTAGACAAGTGTTATAGCTTGTAGGGTACATAACTGTACCAAAAGGACAAGTGTGTTCCTGACCCAGGACACATTTGTAATAGAACAAATTTGTACCAGTTGTAAATATTTGAAATAGAATAGTTATAGCTAGTTCATTAGAGAACGCAAAGAGCAGTTGTACATACTTTATTTCATTGATGTCAATTTATGAATAAAGATTACTTGTTGGATAATTTGAAAATAGAAAATTTCGAGTCCAATATCAAACTGGTAACAAACTTTGTACGTAATAGAAATAAACACGCTTACCCTGCGTACACGTTACAATAGCATTGACATTTGTTCAATAAAGGCTTACAGTTTTGCAGTTCTGGTGATTTTGTTGACTTTGTTCCCTATTGTTTGCTGCTTGGCATTATCGGCCCTTTTCCTGCAACACATATTCAGGATCGTTACAAAAATAACATGAATGTATCTGACTTTTATTATGTGGGTTGTATTATTAACTGTTCACTGCTTCCAGGTCATTACAAAAGACGTGTTTCATCCTTTGAAATGCAGTGAAACGAAAATGGCTGTAAACAGTCAAGGAAAACAACTTAGTTTAAATAGTGTAAGGGATAGGTCTATTTTGGCAAAATAAATTCAAAATATTGCCATATCTTTACCTAGCGAAAAACCTGTTGTCATTTTACTCAGAAAATAAAACGTTTTTGTTAGGCAACTGTAAAATGGAAGTAATAACCTAGTTGTTTACATTTGCGATTTGATCTTAAAGAAGGTAATGGAATAATGTTTCTGTGACAAATTGAATTCATCGAAATATTTGTTACTTACATTGCATTTCAACGACATAAAATAATCAATATCTACAAACTTATTACTTCTTATTTATTCATTACAGAAACTTTGACATCATCAAGTGATTTTATTGGTGGCACGGTAGGTGCTGTTGTTTCGTTAGGGATTGTATGTGCTTCTGTTATGGTGCTCGTGTTCTTCAGAAGAAGAAAAGGTATGAGCGTATGCAAAGGTTAATATAAGCTAAAAATTAATAAAACAGCAATCCCTTTTGTCGAAGATTGTACGATGACCAATACTTATTTTTACATCCTCGTCTGTTTGTCTCTAGAGGATATATACATGTTTTAGTCATAGGCAATAATACTACATCTCTTCATTTTATATTAAGTCGTCATTAGGGACTGTTTTGACTTTGCTGTGAGGTATAATTATTTTGCAGTGTGTTTTGGTTATCTTTAAGCAGCCGTATCCAAGTAAAACGACAGTAACTTCAATTTACAGTTTCTACGATATGTGTTGTTTATTTTCGAGATTTTTACTTCAGTGATGTACATACAATCATATCAATATAAGCAACGATAATGAAAAATGTCCGGACAACTGCTTGATTTTACAACAATGGAAAGACGAAATAGGAGAATGATGGAATAACGGAATAGCGGAGAGAGTAATAATATACGTTCTAGATAATTTTTTGGAAGTATAAATTGCACAGAAAAAAAATCTTTCTATGCACTTTATATAAAAGAAAAAAAAAAACAATTAATAAGCTGGCCTTCAATGCCGACATTATTTTTGTTTGAAGGTTTTCTATTTATAATATGAAAGGGTAAGTTGAATTTGTTAACACACGTATTTTGATGTTCTTTTATTTGCAGGACATAATCAAACGGAAAAGTAAGTTATTATTTATGCACAAACTTTTAAGTTACCAAATAAAAGGTCGAAAACTATATTATTTTGAAACGTGTTTATATGGATTGCTTCATTTGTGTTTGTAAACTATTCAGTGATGTTACTGTATTTCCAAAGACAGGTAAAAATTAAACCTATATTCATAATGAAAACAATACTAGAATCGCTTAATTGATAGATTTACGGCAAAAGTAGAAACATACTTCATAAAAAACAGAAAACAAGTACACATTATAGTTATCACATACTGAAACTTTGCTTCGATTTCTTCAAAACATACATTTGTCTGTCGTTTATTGTAGTAACATGAATAAGGCCGTTGGGTTCTCCTTTGAATCGTTTAACATTTTGTCATGTCGGGACCTGTTATAGCTTACTATACAGTAGGAGATTTTTTCTCATTGTTGAAGACCTAACGATGGACATATAGTTGCTTATATTTACGATCTTCGGTCTGGTGGACAGTCGTCTCATTGGCAATCATTCCACATCTAAATAATTTATCATTGAAAAAAAAATTCAGGCTTCACTAATACAGTGCTAACTTATTTCTTTGACCATTGTTCATTTTGTCTTTAAGAAATGAAAAATCTTATGAAAACACTGGCTTCCAGGAAAGGCAAAAGGAGGATGAGTACGAAGAAGTTGGAAATAAATGTGGTAAGTTAGATTTCAAAATTATGATCCGTAATACTAGATAATATTTCGATAAAATCAAGTGATACTAAAAACAACTTGTTCACGACTCTGTTATTTTCAAGACACTACTTTATCTATTACATGTTAATTCATTCAGTGATGTTTATTGTTTCAGCTGTAAAACAAAAACAGTGAGTATATATAATATTTGATTGAGAATTATAATCGTTTGAAAACACACAATTTTAGAAGTGGGTCAATATGCGCAATTCATTTCACGTAATCGATAATGATAATTATTTTTTTTTCAATTTCTCTGCCCATATCGTTAACTTTGATAGATATGATTGCCCATTTCGCAGCTGAGGCATTTTTACATGTGAGGTTAAATAATCGGGGTACGAAGTGAAATTAATACACCTCAAAAAAGTATTTTGTAATGCATTTCCTCGTGGTAAAAAGCCCTATTTAACACAAACAGTTTTCTGAAAATACAGTTCTTTGCAAACATTGATTAACTCCATTGTTTTATACCTTCATTCTATGGTCATCTGCTCTTCAAATCAACAGAAATGGTCAATCTGAATATCTGTTGACTTGTTAAAATAACAACATGTCCAACATCACTGCACAGAGAATTATATATAAAAACATGACTATACAAGAACCTTGCAAACTTGCTTTTTTTCTTTTGCTATTGAATTCTTTGATTCAATCAACTTTGAAATGAACCAATACTGCGGACAGGCATTTTTTTGTATTTCACACTGTTTACAGTTTTTTTTATCATTTTGTTGCTAAAAATAACAGTTATTTAAAGTATTAAAGTTTACAAAACATTTCAACAAATATTGAACTTTGCGAAAGACCCATCACGAGTTGGTTGACCGTTGTGGAATATCTGTTTTACAGATGACGACAGATTTGTTTCAATTGTCGTAAACTCAATCCAGTCCTCTTTTCATCGAATGTGACCTACCCAATTAGACTGATCACCGGGTTTGTACTTTAATGAGCAACACGATGGTGCCACATGTGGAACAGGATCTGCCTACTCTTCCAGAGCACTATATAAATAACACATATCTGAGAGGGTGATAGAGCAGATTGTTACCCCGAGAAAACATTGTCAACTGAGGCGAAGACAAGGTTGACAATGTCTTTTCGAGGGGTAACAATCTGCTCTATCACCCTCTCAGATATGTGTTATTTAATTAATTACATATAATAAATGTTCTGTTATTACTGTGTATTAAATTTCAAATTCAAAGAAACAAACTGTGACGTCTTGTACATAGCAATCATCCGTATTCATTTAAGCGCACACTTGATCAAGCGTCTCCGTGAAGGGTAATAAAGTGTTTGCCATGGCATAGAGTAAATTGTCTCCCTCTTATCAACCAATCAAAATCTGACATTTTGACATGAAGTATAATAAATGAGGTTATCCCATGGTTTTTGATGGGAGTAGTGTTGCTCAGTCCTTATTTCTTTATATTGTGGTTTGTAGACTGCTGTTTGTCTTTTTGTTGTTTTTCATTTTTTGCCATGGCATTATCAGTTCGTTTTCGACTAATGAGTTTGATTATCCCTTTGGTATCTTCAGCCTCTCTTTTTTTCCGATTAACAACAAAACAAATGAAATCTTAAAAATTTAAATGCAGTGCAAAACTGTATTTCGTTTTGTTTGCAGAATGTCTGAAATATACATGTATGGTTCATCTGTATTCGTGAATGATGTGCTTCGTTTAACAAAAATTGAGATGTTGAAGAAAATTAACTTCAAATACAATGTTCACAATATGCATGACATATGATCCAAAGGTTCACACACAAATTTCCTCTTCTCGATTGTTCGAGCTAAGCATATACATATTAACATTATAATATACAAAACTATATATAGTTGCAACAGGAAGCTAATGTATAAAAAATAAAAAGATGCTTTCCTAAAGTATGATCCCAGGAATTTAATTGAAAGTGTAAATTCACATCAAGTTTTTACGGTTTTATCACTTATCAACAAACAAGTTAAGAAACTATTTTTCTATGCAGAATTTATGGACACTTTGGTCAAAATAAGAGCAAAACTAGAAAATCTTTTTTTTTCCATTTTATTCAGTCTATTTAAATTTCAAAATTGAAAATAACATTTTTCCGATGTTTTGATTTTACATATCAAAACGATATAACATTTTAGAAAAAAAAGCATTCAAATAAAAACCCAAACGCAAAATTAAAAACACTCAAAAGAAAACTTGTGACAAGAAACGACATATCAAGAAAACTTGCTTTGATTCCTAACTTTATTCTGTTTTAAGTCCGATTGTTCTTACTTTATTGTGCGTCCGTTTCGTCGAATTTGGCACAATGTTTCGGAATTTTGGATGTTTAATACTCTTCAACTTCGTATTTGATTTGGGTTTCAAACTGTTGATTCAAACTCCACCGATGAGTCTTTTGTAGACAAAACGTGCGTCTGGGGTACACAATTATAGGCCTGTTTTTATTTGTTTTTTTACAACCACTGGGTGTTTCATGTCCAGTAGTCAGAACTTCTGTGGTGATCTGAAATATCATTGATATTAACTGTTAACAAAACTTTGAATATTTTGAAATTCTAAGGATTTTCTAGCATATGAAAATATAACCTGAGCTGTATTCTGCAAAGCCTATCGGAGTTTTGAGGTCCCTTGTGCTCCCTCTTTGTTCTTTATTTGGCCTATTAATTTGTTTATTCGAGCATCACTGATGATTCTTAGTAGTCGAAACGCGTGTTTGGCATACAAAATTTTAAGCATGGTATCTTTGATGTGTTTTACTTTTGATTTTGCATACCAGGACAATATTTAATTCCACGTCGGTTATTCCCTATGCTTTATCACCTTAAGTTTGATTACATTCTCTCAGTTTATTTTGATTTCATATACGAGTTTTCCTTTTCACATCAATTGTCTAACCCTATATTCTTATATTGAATATCTTCAAAAAAATTATAATTTTTATGTTATTTTTTTTATGTTTTTATGCGGGAGGTTTGGCTAGCCGAAAACCAGGTTCAACCCACCATTTTTTCTTAAAATGTCCTGTACCAAGTCAGGAATATGGCAGTTGTTATCAAATATTCCGTTTCTATGTATGTTGGCGTTTATTTTTGTTGCAGTTCAGTGTTTCTGTTTTTCCGTTGTTTTCCTCTTATAGTTGCTGTGTTTCCCTCGGTTTTGGTTTATGACCCGGATTTGTTTTCTCTTAACCGATTTATGAATATTGAACAGCGGTATACTACTGTTGCCTTTATTTATGTATAACAGATCTATTAAAACCTACGAATCACTTGGTATCAAAGACAAGATTAACGTTTATGATGATTTAGAGAATCCAAAAGGTAAGTATTCTTTCTTGGCTTTCAAATATTCGGCATTGAGCATTCCTGATGAAGGTAAATCTAGAAAAGCGCTTCGGACGCATGAAATTTATAACTGTGTTATTTTCATTTTTTGAAGGCAGTGTTGAAATATAAAAAAAAATGTCTCTAATGTGCGAAAGATTATACAAATTTGTAAATGATAGAGGATGTATCAGCTGCAAACACTTTTAGATAACAAAATTTAGTTACCTATCGACTAATATCATTGCATGCTTCAAAGAAAATATTTCGATAGCAGTATTTATAATCATATGTCTTTGTTAATTTGTTATAATATTCATTGTATGTATGTAAACTGACTGAATGTCCAGGATATATCATACCCTAGAGATAATTCAAATGACCAATATTTCAAACGAACAGCATTTTAATTGATGTTTTTATCTTTCAAATAGCTGATCTTAAACCACGAACTCTTGAAATAAAACCTTTAGAATATGATTTCTACTAGTATCGTTACTTTGGAATTTCATGTTAGTTTGAAACTTTTATAATGAGTTTGAATTCTTCAGTGATAAATATTCCACGCATAACATGATCGATAAGAAAAAGACATTTAAAAAAATGCAGGTTATGCAGTGTGGTATAACTCAAATCACTGCAGAAACTTGCCAGGCATGGTAAAACATGTGTAATAAGGATAGCGAATATACTGGAAAGCGATTCATACTACATCAATCAGTAACAACCGAATCGTTCTAGAAATTTTACGTCTGAAGATTTAAGATATTTAATAGCCTCCCAAAAATTGTCCCGATTATGTTAAAATTTTATGATGAGCCATTGTTAAACGTTTTGTTTTCTTTGACAAATATTAGCTTATTTGCCGTTTATTTTATATTTTTATATATCAGATATAAAATAATAAAGCAAAAATCATCCGCTATATAAAATATTTCAGATTGTCCAGATTTTATTTTTAATATCGATCTGGCATATTTTTACCAGATGACTGGTTCAGGCTCCTTTGCGTCATCCTGTTGGTAGCTAGACTGTGTATTTATTTTTTACTGAATGTTTGTTCTAGACAGCAAAAGGCAATTTTTTCTGTGCACATTATTTAAGAGATAACTGTCTTGTATTTGAAGCTTGGCCTACGTAAAACGTGGGTTTTACTGTCGTATATTGAATTTACCTGGCAATGCGGAGCGGAGCTGGTAAACCGATATATGTGAAAGCAAAACCAAGTTTTAGGTAGGCCAAGCTTCAAATACAATACGGTTATTTCTATTCTAATGCAAAATAAACAAACATGTCCATTTCAGCCATTATTTTGGTGTAAAATTCCATAAAACGTAGAGATATTACTATTGTGTGGACTCTTGTACATGATTACAAATATTATGGTGTCATCAAGTTTGATTTATAGATTATCTGATTCCGTTCATGAGTTGCAGTCCAATGGATATCTATAACGACAACTCATTTTATATGTGATCGAGAAGTTGTAATATATTTAATAACACTTTTTACTTTTAGGTCTGACACCATCTAAATCGTAAGTTTCAGCATGATGTCCTATGTAAGACTGAAAATTAATGAGCATATTAATTAATGTTTCTTTCCTGTATACATAAAGAAAGCCTTTAAGAAGGGT